CTCTGGAGTCACCACCTGCCTGACGTGCTCCCTGCTGGCTCTTTCCTTCTTTTGCCCCCTCTGCCGGCTTCCGGCAGGGTTTTTAAACTTCCCACAGCAGCGTCCTCAGCCACCGCCATTAGCCCCCCGCTGCCCTGCCTTGGGAGCAGCTGTTTAAAGAGCCAGCTTAAAGCCGGCTCGCGCGGCCGCAGCTCCAGTTCCGGCTCGGGACACACCCCTAGAGGTAAGTTCCGTAGGGTGTGGGGGGACTGTTTGTTTACTGTGGGGGCTCTCGGGGTTACCCCCAGCCCTCTTAGTGCCTGTGGGGGCTTCTTGCCACCACAAGTTCCCAATAGCTGGCTGCACCAGACTTAACCACTACATAGCTTGTATATTTTGTAAGTTCACGTAGTTAAAAAGGGTTGCCTTACTACAATTCAATATGAGGGACTGTTGTGTGAAGAGGTTGAGTTTAAGATGTACGTCACATCTTTAACATCATGATGCCATCTGTACTGTGCTAAGGTTGCAGATACAGTCAGATCAGGGTCTGTGGATCTGATAAGACCAGATCTTAGTGTCCAAATCAGTTCCAACAGTTGGTGTTACTTCTGCCCCTGGCTAACACTGATCAGTAATTAGGTTGTAAAGCTTCAGCTGGGAGCTGTTGCCTTCATGTTTCTTGTTCTCAGAAGCCTGATCTATGCTAGAATTATCTGTCTGTGGTTTTCCATTGTAGTTACTGCAATCATATCTTAATAGTGGTTCTCTTTACTAGAAACAAGGCTCTGTGAACTGCCAGTCTTTTACTGCCAAGCTGCCAAGCTGTCTATGCCTGCTCTTAGCAGACTTAGTCAACATGGTTGGAATGCATCAGCAGCAGCCTGTGTATAAGAAAGTTCAGGCCATTGTAATTGCAGAGGGAATGATCTCTTTGCTAGCTATAGTATGAAATTTTAGGGATAAAAGAGTAGTATAGATCCAGCCACAGATAATTTTTCATGGTTTTAATGCCAGGGGCCTTCAGGTTGAGAAAAATCACAGCAATAGTGTATTGCTTATTGGATCTAATTATAAACAGTCTGCTTTGCAGTGCCACTAAAGTCCCAAGACGTGCTTATCCTTAACAAAGAGAGTTGTAGCTGCAATGCAGCTGCATGACTTGGGTAACTGAGTGTTCATATGGCATGTGGGATGTCAAGGTTATTGGATTGTGACCATCAAGGAGTGGCTGTTGCTCCTATATTTGTACATGCATACCCTGCCCGCATGATTTTTATTCCACAGAAAATGCTTTGCTGCTTCATTTTCCGAAGTAGGCAAGAGGATCACATTTTTAACATGCCTTTCCCCCCCTTTTTCAACATGTTTTTACTGTCCCTCAGTAAGTCAGTGTCTTTCCCTTTCAATTCCTCACTGCAATCAAATGCAGTACAGTTAACATTTTTCACACCATATTTGCACTCTTGAGGTGCAGAATGAGTTGTCCTCCTCTTTGCAGCCTTAAGTACTTGGATGTGCTGCCTCCGTCACTCAGTTTCATCAGAACATGCACTGGCATGCACATGGTCTACCTACAGACAAGCTCGCCCCTCCAGGTGCCTCTTCTTGGAAAGGACTGTGCCAGAGAAGATGGATTGAAGGGGCATTTAGATCAGGGTGCTCTGCCTCCAGGGTAAATATTTTCAGGACATGGTCATACTTAAGTCCAGCTTTGCTTTTCAGGTTCAACCCTGCAGGACATAAATCTCTCATTGAGCTTGAACCAACAACTGAGCAAGAAGCACAGACAGAGCCGCAGCCAACTCCTGAACATGCTGACAGCTTTGTGAGGTTCGTACAGTAAGCACCAGCATCAAGAGTATAAAGGAGACTGAATCCTCAGGGAGGGCTCTGCTGTACCACAGCAGTGATTTCAGCTGTCTTTCCAAGAACAAAGTCAGGGCTAAGGATGTGGGTGAGGGTGAGGCAGTCAGCCTTTCTTAACATATGGAATGGTGCCTGTGGTAGGTGTGTATGGCAGCACATTCCCTCTTCCCTTTAGTGGGGCTGTGGGATGAGTGCAGTTTTGGGAGACTTGGCAAAAAAAGCAAAGCTCCAGCTGCTACTTACATTGCTTTCTCACACTTAACTGGAAATTCCAGAGATGCAGGTAAGAAGAAACACCCTAACAGTGCGAATGAAGAAGAGATGTCTCCCAAAGAGCCAGCGAATAGGACAGCTTCCACAGAAATAAAGGTAGCCATTTCTCTACATGTTTGTCATGGATCCTTCATATTCTTCACTTGCTTGTTTCAAAAGTACTCAGTATTGGTATAGCTGTGTGACTCCTCAGAAGTCAGTGGTAAAACTTCCATTTGACTATTATACCAATGAAGTACATTTTTGAAAATCCTACTTCTCTTGCCCACTAACCAACTTTCTGTACATCAAGGTATTACGTAACTATGTAATAACTTTCAAAGCAGTTACAGCCCCTTTCCCTGGTTTACAGGTAGCTTCTACCTTCCCAGTCCATTCCAGATCAGTCCATACCAAACATGAACCTACAAGTGTCACTCCGCTGCAGAAACTTGGCTAGAATTGCCTGCTCATATACCTAATACCTTTTCCACCCATCCCATTATCCATCTAGAGTAGTGATGTACAAACAGCCAGCAGGTTCATTTATAGATAGACACTTTGCCAATAGTTACAAACACTGTCACTACATTCTTACGGTTAGCTCTTCAAAATTTTTTCTAAGTTCTCTGACCTTTGCTGTTCAAAGTGCTTCTTTAGACATTGATTTTATTGTTTGAGCAAATTGCTTCTTTGCTCTATATACCCTTAAAAAGTGAATGTCAAGACCTGAAAAAGAATGCATTACCTTGAAAGCTTGTCTAAGTTCATCCCAACCATGCAATTGGTCCAATAAAAGATATCACCCACAGACTTCCTTGCCTCTTACATAAGAATGTTTTCCGTTTGGAAAAATGATGCTCTGTGGCAGTAGAGATATTACTCCCCAGTTTGCAAATACAGTCCTGCAGTGCATAAACTGCTGCCTGCTTCATTATGGTGGTTGCACACATAAACCAGGTAAAGGCATATGTAAAAGTGTAAGTAGGAACCTAACTGACCCTCTTGATTAACCCAGACATTCCTAGGTGTGTTCATGCATACACTTCCCTGTATCTGTGCTTGAGGCCTTTGCCTGTTGATATGGCAGCCCTGTGTATGTGTGCATAACACCAATATGGAGATTGTGTTCAAAGAAAACCCAACATGAAGTTTAATAGTTCTAGTGACTGTTGTGAAAAGAAAGAGGCAAGTTCATGATTAGGAGTGGTAGTTTGCTGTCTATAGCTTGTGGTTCTTCTTCCCCAGTTGTTAACTTGTGGCATCAAAGAGTTAGACGGTGTTTCTCTGACTCAGAGTCCAGTGGAGCTCAATGAATCACTGTGTTTGGAGGAAGCAGAGGAACTGCTCACCACTGGAGTGGAAGAAGTAAGGAAAGATTTAAAACTGTTCTCTCACTTTTTTTTTTTTGCATCACTTATGACTTTAAACAAGCAGTGGGAGTCATACCCAGGGACACAGCAGGCATACAAACTGTCCTTGGTCACAGGCTGTATGATGCTCATCTTTGCAGCAACCCATGTTAACTGGTACTAAGCGCCTCAAAGTCTTTATAACACTTGCTGAATTGCACTTTTTCTAGTATTATATAACTTAAAGCAACAAAGTAACCTCAGATATGGAGTTTTCTAAGGGTTTATTATTTGAGATGCAATATAGAGTCACTGGGACAGGTCCTCAACTGGTATAAAAAGTTATAACAATGTTGGCTTCAATGGAGCTCTGACAGTTCTGAAGGGTCATTGCAATCATAGGGTGAGACCTCTTGCATAATACATAACTAGGATTTTTATTAATTAATTTCTGCATCAAGCCTTTGTCTTGTGGCTGAACTTGAGCAGACACTGAGCCTTTAAAAGAATTGAAGTGGTGAAGAATCCATTGCATACTTGTAAAAACTGCTAATAATTTTCATGTTGTTTCTAGCATCATGTTTTTAGCTTTCCCCTCCAACTGTTGAGCCCAGCTTCCTTACTCCATTTCATTGAGCTGAGTTGTTTTCTTCCATTCAGTATATATTTTCAGTAAGAGTTTTGCCTGAGTAAAGTATAAGGGTGCCGGTGTTTATCCCTTTTTTTATTAATTGACTGGTAAATTATACCAATTGCTACAGTGGCTATTGTGTTGGCACTTTATACCACACAGAACAAGAATAGAATAAAAAATATTAGGAATAATCAGAACTGAATCCATTCATCTTGTGTTGGTCTCCAAGGACTTTCTCTCCTTGTCTTATGGCCTTTAATGGCAGTGAATTCCAAAGATGAAGACTTTCAGGATAGAAGTCCCTCTCAGAGATCTCCCAGCTAACACTAATGCAATTGTTGTGTGCAGGGAGACTATTCTTCCCATGATTCCCTTCAGAGAAAGATCAGGGAGGATGTAGGCTAGAGATCAGAAAGGTGTCTGATACCTCTTGCTCCAAACAAATGTCATGCAGGTTAGAATGATGTGTCATTGAAAAGGCAAAAGTGAAAGACGAAAGCCTTTGAAAGTTGATCTCTGGTGATTTTTACATTTTGAAATGTTTAACTGCATCCTGTCTCCTAACATCTCTCCTGCCAGGTGTTTGACATCTTACCTCTCTATGGAATTCTCCAACCAAATGACAGCCAGCAGGTATCATTCAGCTTTTATGGGCATGCTGATATTGCTGCCCATGCAAAAGCACTGTGTGAGGTAGAGGGAGGCCCTACCTACGAGATCAAGCTGAGGGGAGAGGCTTCCCTTGTCCGTTACATGTTCGACATAAAGGAGATTAACTACGGGATGCAGGTACAGATCACCTTCACCATGAGAAGGACTGGGCTTTGAACCATCACCTTCCAGGCAGATAGCCTGGAGCTCTGCCACCCTTGGATCATGTACATGCATAACCCTATCCAATAGGTTTTCACTATGTCTGGGCACTACTGTGACCATCCTTCCCTTGGTGCTGCTTGTAGTAAAAACAGTTCCATTGTAACTCCAGCAGAACGTGTGAAGGTCAAACAGTTTCATTCAGCAGTCAGCATGGTGTTGCCATCCTGTATGGTGAGTGCCATCTGTGTTGAAGATGACACGAATGGTTGTCAAGAAAGAATGAAAAATAAACTTTCTGTGAAGCTGTGTGGCCTATCCAACTCACCCTGCCACACTCTACTGCCAATGGAGGGAACAGTACTATTAAAAGCATAATAGCCTCAAAGACTGAGAAATCTGAATTTTTCCCCTATTTATCAACCACTCCCTATGACTACATGGAAAGAATAACTTCAGAGAAGGAGTTTAGAGGCATGTGATATTCCTCTTGTATCTCTGGCAGAGCACATAGAAATTAATGACATTTGATTGTCCCATGTTTTAGAGGGCACAGGCATACAAACAATTTACCCTGCTGTAAAAGGAAGCAGGGATATACTGTACATCATTTGCTTTGTGGTAATTCCCTCTGCGCATGGTCTTACTTTGGGGGAAAATAGCTGAGCCCCTGATAGTAGCTCATAGGAAGCGAATCTGGAAAATAAGCTTTCGTCTTGATTCTCCCCCTCCTCTGTCCTCTCCTCAGCTATTTGACCAAGTCCTTGAAGCAGAAATCAAACTGAAGAACAGTGGGAAGGTTGGTTTTGACTTCACTGTGCTAAACACCAGCCAGGCCTCTGTGGATAACCCTCCCCCTGGAGTGCCTCTTGTCCTGCCTGCCATGGTGAGTCTCTCTGACAAATGGGTGGAGCCCTGGCAGGATTTCATAGATTTAATAGATTTTTAGGGTCAGAAGGGACCTGTAGATCATTGAGTCTGACCCCCTGCCCTGGGCAGGAAAGAGTGCTGGGGCCAGATGACACCAGCCAGGTGCTTGTCCAGTCTCCTCTTAAAGACCCCCAAGGTTGGGGAGAGCAGCACCTCCCTTGGAAGCCCATTCCAGATTCTGGTCACCCTTACCATGAAGAAGTTCTTCCTGATGTCTAATCTAAAACTGCTCTCTGTCAGTTTGTGGCCATTGTTTCTACTTGCCCTCAAGGGGTGCTCCGGTAAACAGAGTATATCCTGTTCCTTGCTGCCCTGCCCCCCCCCCAAATGAGTTTATAGATGGCCACAATATCACCTCTCAGCCTTCTGTTACAGAGGCTGAAGAGCTCCAGGTCCCTCAATCTCTTGGCAAGGGTTAAAACCTAGCCCAGAGGTCCAGCTCGTTCTGGCAATGGAGCTTGTCAGTGATTCCCCAAGGAAGCCTCCTCATGGACACACCAAGGGTGACTGCCAATGGGCAGCTGTGCCAGGCACTAGAGCTGTAATTGCTGCAAGGAGAGAGGAATGATGCTTATTGCTGCTGAGAGCAAATGGACACACTCCTGAATAGATTCCCTTAATGGCCTCTGGACAGCAGGAGGCTCAAATGGCCAGGAGCTACAGACAGCTCAAATGCATGGGTTGCTTGTTGAATCCTGGCTACTGGAAGCTTTCCATTTATGCTGAGGCTGGGACTGGAGTGCACAGTTTTCTCTTCCTTCCCAGTACAGCCAGGGACATGCTCCTCAGCTTGTCCCAGCCAGTCTCAGGTCCTGCTCTGTAACAGAACAATAGGTACTCCTTCACCATCTGCTTATCCTTGAGTCCCCTCTTCACCACAGCTGAACAGCCAGGCCACTGGAGAGCTCTGTCAGGATCTGACAGAAACACAAGCACAGCACATAGGTGCAGATTAGGACTGTACTCATCCTATAGCTTTCATTTTAAGTATAAGCCTTGTGTTTATTTCAGCTCAGAGGAAATGAAGGGACAAATAAGGCTTAGCATGTCTCTGTTGCCTTGTTTCTTGCCTTCCTGCATTCTGATCACACTTCTCATTTGCCTTAGAGAGGCAAATCTGCATGCATCTGAGTATGCCTGTATTCCTGCTTCACCTGGATTTGCCTATAACTTTGATTGATTCCCCTTAGCCTGGGATCCTGATGAGTCATGCACAGAGTAGTCTCAGCAAGTGTGGGGGCTACTGTGTCAAGCAGTCCCTGTGCTAAGGGAAGCAATGTCACAGGGACCAGGAGGAAGTTAAGCCACGTGTAGCCCAGGTGTACACAGGTTTGTACTCCCCTCTCCAATTGAGGGAATTATTGGCAGGGCAGTGTGCTGTGGAGGGACACAGCAGCCCAGTGGCCACTTCCATCCCCTAGAGAGTCAGGCCCAGTCAATCAATTAGTTAACTATATACAAATTTATTCATAGATGCTAGTGTTAGAAG